GCAATTCTTGCACAGTATGAGCGAACGAGTGATTTAACAATATTATGACTGTTTTACCATTAAACCGTTTTTGTCCAAATATATCACCTTAGTTCTTCAAAACACAAGTGTATATGTATATGTATTATAAGAAAACCACATATGAAGCAAGAGGTGTGTTTTTGCAAGAATATAATTCACCAGTGAAGATGGAACATAGTCCATCAGCATAAAAAATGGCTAGTTAGTCATCAAATTACGCATTGCTTTTTTGAAGTACTACAAGAAATTTGACTTTTAACAACTAAATTTTTAGTCATAGAAAGTCCAAATTTAATCGCATAAAACATTCCGTAACAAAAAAAATATAGTCGCTACTTGGTCGATAAAAGTCGGTCATAGAAATTTTTTTACGACTAAAATTTTGTAGTCACTAGATATTCATGCATTTAATGACTAAAATTTTAGTTGCAAGAGTTTTTTAGTTGGTCACAAGAAAATTTCACGGGCACCAAAAATTTGTGTTGCGAAGAGACCAAATTATTTTTTGTAACTATGTGAGAGCTAATTGGCAACTTATTATTCGTTGTTGTTAAATCAATTATTAGACATATAATGACTAACCTTTTAGTCACTAAAATTTCTAATTTAGCGACTACTAGTTAGTCATTGAAATTTGTATTTTTGATTTTGTAGCGACTAACAATTAGTCACTAATTAAGTTATTAAGTGGCCAAATTTTAGTCGCTATTTTAAGAAATTATGGTTGGTAGAAACTCACGACTTCTGTTTTGAGTGACTAATTTTTATTTGAAGAATTAGCATAATATGTAATTAGATAAGAGAATAACATATCTAAATAATTGTTAAATCACATATCTAAATACCGCATAGTTCAAGTTTTTAGAAGTAAACATCTAACCAATTACTTAGAGTATATAAATTTAAAAACACAGTCCATCAGCATAAAAAAGGTGTGTTTTTGCAAGAATATAATTCACCAGTGAAGATGGAACATAGTCCATCAGCATAAAAAAGGGTTAGTTAGTCATCAAATTACGCATTGCTTTTTTGAAGTACTTTCTCAGTTATCTGCTATGACATGTAACACTTGAATCTAAAAACCTTTTCTCTGCTTGATTTTGGTACCAACGTCCAAAAGAAAGGTGTCACTGCAGATTATAATTTATTTAAGTTTAAAAAAATCACAGAATGCACTGACTTGAGAAGAACATACTTTGTAGTTGCACGTTTGAGCCCCAAAGTATGTTCTGACAGTAAATGTGTCAATTTTATCAAGGAAATCGCAAAAACAGCTCTCGCAGCAGAAAAGTTTAGGAGACCAAATTCGAGCAATTAAAATGATAAAAAGAAACGGTTTTGAGTCATTAACTTTTATTTTTTTTATTTTTTATTTTTTTGCAAGTAAAAGCTGAGAAATTATTTGTTCAAGTACGGTTAAGATCGTTTCTTTCTAGCGGTCGAAATGCATGATACCTTTAAAATTTTATAGATGTGCCGTAGTTTTCTCACAAGTTTATACAAATTTGGCGTGTGACTAAGAGCTCATGTATTACCAATTAATTACCATATACCAAGAATTAATTTTTATTAATTTTTACTGTTGGAATCACTATTCTATGGCTTTTCCTATATTTACGAGCATAAATAACTAATGACAGCTCAGATTGTACTAGTGTAGGCTGTGAGCTTTGCCTAGCTGTCTCCTACACATAACACAACAGCCATAAATTTTTAAATACTGATATTAATTTAATGGGAGATTTTTTAATATGGGTACTGATAAATTAAATTTTTTTAATTATTAAATTTTTATATTTTTTAATTTTTATATAATTTTAGACAGATTCAACTAATAAAAACCTAATTTATTAATATATTGAGGTACCGGTTCCTAATTTAAAACCGAATTGGCTAAAATTTAAAGTCAAATATAGCTTTGACAGTAATTTAAGTAATAGACCCCAAATTGACTCCTTTTGCTGTCTTTCATTACTCCTCTCCTAACATCTTTTTGCGTCTACTCAACTACTTCTCTGTCATTCATTTAATTAGGACAGCACCTCACTTCTAGTTTCACTGTTTTCAGTCCTTTTGAGGTTTTTGTTTTTGATTTTGTTTTTGTGTTTATTTTTTAAATTCTGTCGTTATATACACTATATTATGGTTGTGACATATTTTGCCAGATTATAAATAGAATAGCATTAGTTCAAATAAACAGGAAAAAAAAAAAGAATAGCATTAGTAAAAACTTACGGATAAGAACTGTTATTTGAAGCATTAGAGTAAGTTCTTGACAGTTTGATGTATGAGCGTTCATGAAAAAATTTGCAATACATATAACTTTTTAATCATAGGTCAGATCATTAAAAACTTAAAACAACGATTGAAATTGCAGTTTCTATCAATAATTTCAAAAGATAGTTCTTACCATAAAACTTCCCAATAAAGGAAAAAAATTTAAACAAAAAATTATAAATGATATCAAGAAAAAGGGACCCAAGTCAAAATCGTGAGCGAAAAGGATTCAGTCTCCATAAGACCTAGTGTATGAATCGGCAAAGACCTAACGATAAAGAAATTTGCTCACGTGAATCTGCATCATTAATAACCATATATCTAACCAACAACACAACCTCAACAACCATAAAAGTGAAGATCCTTGTAAAAATTCATTTGCATGGTTGAGATTTGCACCTATCTATCTACAAATACTAAGCTCACTCAGAGAGTATGGAAATGTTTAATGACAAGCTAACCAAGCAAAGTTAAGTGATCCGTTTAGGAAAAAAAAAAAAGGGTCAAGTCTATGTTTGATAAGAGGGAAAAAAGAATACGAAAAAAAGAATGTGATTCTACTTTTGCGTCCCCTTGTGTTTGGGAAAAAAAAAAAAAGTTAAAGGTATTTTACTTGACATGGCATAATAATATCGAGCCGACAATTAAAAAGATGATCTTTCTCTTATTCTCTTTGCCATGAATTCCATCCTCTAGTCTTCTCATATTGCGAGAGATTTTGAATTCTAGTACTTTGAAAGATTTGATGTTGCTCCCTAAGCTATTTCCTTGTCTTTTCTCTCCTCCTACCAAATAATTGTGCGTACCAAAATCTTTTCACAAATCTCCTCATCCATTTCTCTTCTTTCATTTTTTCCTCCAACTAAATAAGATCAGGCATCTAGCTGATGGGCTCAAGGTTTAGCTTGTCCAAATCAATAAAAGACATAACAGATAATGCAAATATACGAAATATTCATCGACTTTTCTCTTGCATGGCATTACAACCTTAATATTCACAGTTTCCTTTTTTTAAGTCTTTAAATTGAAAGAAGATATATCGAAATTACTAAATTATAGTAAACAGACTTTAATTTTTTCATGTATTGCGTAATAACGTCCCTAGTACTAGTAATTATATATGTTTTCTACGGTATTTAAATTGGACAAATATATTCCAACCAATTAAATATGTCTGTAGAGTGATCATATTGCATGTGCTACGTAAAAACCTTCATAATTATGTTTTCTTTTACAGTTTTGAATTTGAACAAATTAAAGATACACAATCAATCTCAACTCTTGAAGATCAGATCTGTATTTTTGAAAGGGGACCAGCTATAATCCTAGTCCAAGATTTTATTATTATCCTTGTAGGGTATTAAGAAAAAGTAAGAGGAGGGGGTGGGAATTGACAGAATTGGAATGGTATAGGATTCATAGTTTGTTGATCAGCTTATTACCAAAAAAAAAGTTAGATTGGTCATTATGGTATTTGCAGGGTTGAGCACAGACTTGTTCTGATCACACTTTTGTGTCCAGAACTGCTTCTCTTGGTTTTTTTTTTTTTTTTGGAGGTAGCTAGCAGCTACTTTCTTGCGTGTAATATTTTGATGTCAAAACGCAGTACAATTTCTTTCTTTTTTCTTTTTTTAATCTAATATGGATAAATTTTGCAGATCATTCTGCCTGCGTGACAGGATTATGGGTTAATTATTAACTGATCAAAATGTAAACAATTAGCTATGTGTATTATATGTGCGAGTCTGGTATGTGTAAAAAACTAAATTAATATTTCAGCTGTAGGATTTATATTTCTATGGAATATTCAATGGAAACAAACATATACAGGTTAATATTAGTTGGCTGATGCTTCAATAACAAACAGCCAGCTCATGAAGTAAGAAATCGTCAATAAAATATATATTTATGCATGCAGTAGCATATGTAGTTGTTTCCACCTCCTGCAATTTGAAGGTTGGGGTACGTGGGGACTAGGGATAAAATGGCATATATGTTACTTTATGATGATATATGCTTCTATAAAAGCTAATTTTATGCACGAGAAAAACATTATTAATCTACCTTGCACTTAGCTCCTAAACACATATTAGCCAAATTTGATCAGCCAAATAAACACATATTAGCTAGCCATTGCTACCACTGGTATAAATTGTAGATTAATAAAGGTCAAAAGTTGTCGTTTTATGTGACATTTCTGACTATGATTTTTACAGAAAATTTGTCATTAAAATATCCTTCCTTAAACCACATGTAGGCTCATGCACACATTTCACAACGTTTAAAAACCGTCATGAAATATAAGCGACTTTTTTATTACTCTCAATTTAAAAGAAAAAAAAAAAAAAATTCTTTGTAGCACACATGGGGAAATCGGTTAAGCTTTCAAAAGTAATTTTTTCTATACATATGATCATCAAATGACTGTATAGATTGGTTAGAGCAACTTCATTAGAGAGAGAAATGTGAAGACATTCGTTTGTTTGATCTCGTTTTATGTGTCGTTTAAACCGAAAACTAGAAAACTAATCCACCATATTATATTTGAATAGAATTGAGACAACGCAGGGATATGAGTAAATAAGAAGAATAAATGCGGTCTGCAAAACTTCAACTAACCACATACTCCTTCACCGGTTTGTATTTACTTCTCTACTGATCTCCTCAGACCTCAATATATATTCACCGCTTCCTCATCCTGACAAGCCACACTGATCCACTCCTTCAATCCTCGTCTTTTCATCTTCCCCTTCTCTTCTTAATTCTTGTCATACATACTAAGAAAAAGGAAAGACCAAAACAAAAAGAAAAATGGAGAGGAAGAGCATAAGAATGTCTTCTTTGCTGTTGTGGAGTTTGGTCGCTGCTTTGGTCTCTCAGAACTTGTTGATCCCTGTCATGTCCGCTAGCTTTGAGGATCAGAAGAACTACTACACTCCTGATCCACACGTAGGAACTCCACCCTCAGGTCTCTCTCTCTCTCTCTCTCTCTCTCACTTCTGTTCACGATTTCTAGCATGGAAGAAGTTGAAAAAAATGTTGTTTACGTACATAGTAAAGAAGATTAGCCCCATTATTCAAATTTGGAGCACCATTTTTTCCAGTGGTAACTAGTAGATCATGATAAAGAAAATATGTAGGAAAAAAAGATAGCCATTTTTTTCTTTATGAAAGAGGAGATCCTTTGGATATGTCTCATAGTAATCGACAATAGGTCATAGTTCCCATAAAGAAAAGCAAAAGATCATGTCATATCTTTACTTAATATCAAGTGTCAAACAAGGATTATACATATCATAAAAGTCTAGGACTAATTAGGCAGATCAAATAATGTAAATTAATTGTGCTCTGTCATGATCATTACCTTTCCCCATATCCCCACATCAATGCATGAACTAATCAACTTAAATGCATATATCTTACACATTATAATAAATAAAAATTGTACATGACATTTATATATATGATGATGAAATGCAGGAGGGTCAACACCAAAGACTCCATCTCCTTCTCATTCCAGACCATCCCATGGAAGCAGCGGGGGAAGCTATGGCCCCACACCATCAACACCTAAAGCCTGCCCAACCCCATCAACACCATCATCAAAAACTCCTCCTTCCGGTCACAACGGCGGATACTATCCTTCCCCTACTCCGAGCACTCCATCCACTCCCACAACTCCCACAACTCCTTACACTCCCACACCTACCACTCCTGACACTCCCACTCCTACCATTCCTTACACTCCCACACCTTCCACTCCTACTCCTACCACTCCTCCATACGTTCCTGATCCCAACTCCCCTCCCTTCACCTGCACGTAAGGACTTCATTCTTATATATATACATACATATATACATATACATTTATATATATAACTTTCTCTATGTATATGTGTGTCTGTGTGTGTATAAGTGCATAAGTAGTATGTATGTATATGTCAGCATGGCAAACTTTTAAAACTTTCAAGTTGAGATCTATTCTCTGGCTAATACAACACACACATACACACACACAATATATATATATATATATATATATATATATTATGATTTGTGAGTTCTAGAACTCTTTTCATTTTACATTCTATGGCATGACGATTTATTGATCATCCAAACAGTCGTGTTGCCTTTGAACCATATTAATGCTGAAGATGAAGAAAATAAAAAGGCATGATCATCCTCTTTTACTGTTAATATTAGTTTTCTGATGAATAAAACATAGTAAATCTATCATTTAAGTCACAAACTTTATATTTGTGTATGTGCACTAACTTTGCAAAATGTTAACTTTTTGATCCACTCTTTAGGGCAAAATATAGCAGATATTTGAGTTCCCAACTCAGGTTTTGTTACATGACATGAGATCTGTCAATCTCAACATGGAAGTTATTTACCCATTTTTCTAAAGAAGATTAAAACATGATCATCATTATCTTCTTTTCTTTTCTTTTTTTCTTTTTTTTTTTTTTTTTTTCATTTTCCTCCTATTGAGAATAGAACATGCACGAAATATTTCTGAATATCATTTAATATTTACAAGTCATGACATAAAATTGAGTATACTTATATTTTTGCTAATTAATACATGGCCGCAGTTACTGGAGGAACCACCCACAACTGATCTTTGGTGTGCTGGGCTGGTGGGGAACACTCGGCAATGCTTTCGGAGTTCCAACCGTGCCGGGGCTTGGCTCCAATATCAGCCTCAAGGATGCCCTCTCCAACACCCGCACCGACGGCTACGGCGAGCTCTGCAGGCAAGCAACCGCGTCTCTTCTCAACTCCATGATTGACAACAGGTTCGCTTTCACCACCAAGCAAGTCAGGGAGAACTTCATCGCCGCCCTCGGCTCCAACAAGGCCGCCGCACACCAGGCCAGCCTCTTCAAGCTCGCCAACCAGGGCAACCATCGTTGAATATCTCTATCTAAATATAATATAAGCAGGGCAAAAAAAAATCTATTTTATTTTTCAGTTGGTTCGTGAGTGCAAAATACTGTGTGTTATAATTATTGTTGTTATTATGTCCAGGACTACTCAAGCAGTGTGTTATGGCTAAGAACCGTTCTTAGGATTTTCAATATCATGTCATGACGTTTTTTTTTTTTTTTTTTCTTTTTCACGTCTTCATATTGTTGCTTTTGTATTATTCGACTCGTGAGGTTATAGGCATATGATCATGATCGTCAAGATACTGTGGTTTTTACATTTGGATATTGATGTTTTTGGTTATAAGTTTATGTTGATCATTATTAGTTTTTCTAATAAAATTCATCAAGGATTTCTTTGATCAGTAGCTTTTGTTACATGTCATTATCGATCATAAATCCAAACTTTCTATTTATCTTTAACAATATAATTTAGCTTTTCTTATAATTTCCCACTCTTGCTAACAATTCATATGTAGTCGTCTGAGTCAGTGACGAGCCAAAAATTTCTGTCAAAGGGGGCTATATTAACATTAATTTCATTGGGGGCTAATTAATACTAATATAATATAATGTCTAATTTTATATATGAAATTTAAAAGGAAAAAGATTTTGAGTGAGGGCTTAAGCTTCCATTGGCCAAGCCTTGGCTCCGTTCCTGGTCTGAGTACAAGAAAAATCTCAAGAACTAAAGCGACGGTCTTTTAAGGGTCAGTTTAGTTCGTTGATTCAAGTTGAGATGTGATTTTATATGAGAGCTTTTTACTGTAGTAAAAAAATTAGATGTAATTGTTTATGAGATCTTTTTAATTTAATAAAACTCAAATTCTAAACTCGAATCAATGAAATAAATGGGGCCTAAATTACTAAACAATAAAATAAGTTAATTCCAAATTTGACATTTGAAGAACAAATATGTCCCACTTAAAATGACGTAAAACAAAATTGCAATTTTATTTAGTCATTGAGGCTTCAATTTTTAATGATTTTTGTCACATGTCCTCGTATGGTGACCTTTGACATGATTAAAACAGTTCAAAAATTACCCTTTACCGACTAATTATGTGACCCATAATGATAAAAACCGGTAAAAGAAAATAGGCAGTCATCAAAGTACTAAAGTTACAAGTTATGATAAGAATGGGGAGAGTTTTGTTTATTTTAAATTGTAAGGGTGGTGAGACAACATCCTTATCTTTTGGGGGCAAAATCTAAAATTAACCTTGAAGAAAATATCATACACGGTCTGCATTAATATTGCCAGCATGACAGGTGCATTCTGCAGAGATGTACAACTCTGAGCATTAATGGTCAATATTTATTTCTCTCTGGTCAATTTCAATATTTCTTTTTATGTTTAAGAGTAATACACATATGCATCTGTTTAACTGTAATTTCCATAAATGAAATTATGACATGGACAGTTGGAACTGATCAAATGTGTTCCAAAATTAAACACAATACAAGAGTAGCTAGCTAGGAAATCTAATGCACTGCTCATAAACTGGCATATATGTGGAGCCTAACAACTTTTATGGCATAAGTTCTCATTTTGCTGAAAAAACCCGTTATTCTAGAAACGTTTATCAATAGGTCTAATAATTGAAAAAATAATAAGATTATAAGATGAAATCTATTCATATTTAGTGGGAATTATATGTAATATTGATATATAAATTAAATAATTTAATATATGTTTTCTTAAGAAAAAATAAGTTGAGTGGGAGCTTGAGCCGCCCACTAAACCACCTCTCTCCGTGCTTGTTCTTGATCATAAGCAAGAGGGAAAAAAATTGTTCAGCTCAGTTTATTGGGTTTATAACATCTTCGTGATACACCCGTCCAATAAAAAATTTAATAATGGTGCACGTCTACTGAAAATTTCTCAAAGCACATAGATGGGAGTACAACTTTAACAACTCACAAGTTTCATGATGAGTTAGGGTCTGTTCAGTTCGCTGATTCGAGTTTTTAATTCGAGTTAAGATGTAACTTTATGTGAAAGCTTTTTACTATAGTAAAAAAGTTAGATGTGACAGTTCTTTAGAGTTTTTTACTGTAGTAAAACTCGAATTCTAAACTCGAATCGGTGAAATGAACGGGGCCTTAGTTTTGATAGAAGCCTCTGGCATCGCGTGCCACAACGATGGGTGTCACCATCGTGCCAATGAATTTAACATTTATGTTCATAGTTCAATGGCTTCAATCCACAAGAGATCTAATTTGTTTGGTGTCATATTTGACGAATTTAATTGCTTCAAGTTTTTAGGCCGAAAAAGAGAATGAATTTAAGAAAGAGTAGAATTAGGCCTTAAATTAATCATTTTTTATTTTCTAGGTAAATAAAATACAAAATTAATGAGGACGCATTTAAATTTATTATTGTTTATTGGATCAGGTACTAATTTTCTTAAAAAGAAATTATATATATGCAAATTTTGTAACAAGATAATGTCAACATAACCTAGCTAATATTCATATATTTTCCTCATGATTAACAATTCTCTATCGCCAACCTTGGTTTTAGTTGTGGTCCATAATTGGGGTTAGGTATGGTCGCAGCTGCAACACGTAATTCATAAATCGTATTAATTACTCATTCTTCTATTGTGCTCCCCATAAATACAAATATTACACAAATATATACACATTTATTTCACAACGTTCAACAAACAAATTGACCAATATGGTCCTAAGAGCTCTGTACATGTACATATATATTGTAGTAGTACTTCACTTGAAAAACTCTCTAATGACAAGATTGGACCAAGCATGCCATTAAAAGAATTCATGGAAAACCAAATTGCAACTAAGAAGTGAAATTAACAACTGCCTACCCAGAATTCACCCCGCAAATTAACATGATACTCGATCAAGTATATACCAGGCCCATATTTGAAACTTTTTATTTTTCCGCTGCGCTTGCAAATAACTTTTGATATTGATCAATAGGTCTTCTATTAGTTTTTTTTTATAGATAATGTATGTTTTTGACTGTTAAATTTTATTATTATATCAAAATAAAAAAGTATTTAAAATAGATAGTCAGTTAAATTTTATTATTACATCAAAATAAAAAATATATATTTAAAATAGATAGTTTTAATATAAATTAACAATAAAAAATAAAAAAATCTATTAATAATTCATTTTTTCAAACTCTACAGTAAAAATCTCCCTACTAATCTTCAAATGTCTCTATAGGAAGTTGAGAACTGTTAATTCGGTTGGTAACGAAATTAAACGCTAGCCATGTGTCGTTTCTGCAGAAAATCGGACTAGCTTGTGCGTGGAGGTTGGTGACTGCATTGAAGCCTTTTTTTTTTTTTTTTTGAAATGCTGATAGTAGAAATAGTTAAAGACTTCAATATACTTTAGTTGTATTCCGCCCGTTGCGGAATATATTATTGTAATATATGAAAAATTTGAGATTTTTATATACATATTTATATTTAAAATATATTCATACATATATAAACACATATATTATAAAATATTGTTGTTGTTTCAATCCTTATTGCTTTTCTTTTTTTAAAAGCAAGATAGGAATGTTAAAAAACAAAAATTAGTGAATATAATTTTTAAAGAAATTGACAAAATTTTATCATACATAGTGTAAATTAAATGATATAGAAAAAATTTATTACTTTGTCCGTATACATTTTTTAAAATGTTATGTTGCCTTTGATTCAGAGTTTATATTGTGGAATATTATTTAGATATGTATTTAAAATAGTAAAAATTATTTTTTAGATTTAACATGTTTTATCTTGTGCTTGATCTTTTTATGATTGGTGTATGTATATCAATTGTGATTGGGTTTGATATCTGTGATGATGGTGTTGGTTGAGGACTGAAATGACAAAAATGAAATTGATATGTATTTCAAACAATAAAATTTTTTTTAGACATATATGATATAAATTAATAAATATGTCTTGCCTTTGTGGATCCATTGATGCATAGTCACTGATTGTTCTGTTCTCTCTCTATTTTGCATTGTACAAAATATAAAATCAGATAAATCAAAATTTATAAATATTTTTAATCCCTCCATTTACAGTAGGATCCAGGTAGCTATACCGCAAACAAAAGAAACAAAAGGACCCACATAAGAAGATGAGAACTCACTGAGCTTGGGAAAAATACTAGACCCACATCAGCAGCTAAAAAGTTGAGCAAGAGAGAGAGAGGGGCAAACAACATACACACGTGTTGGACCATCTTCAAGGTCAAGATATTGAATTTACACATGGTAGTGTCCGTAGTGCGACTGTGGGCCCCTTCCGAAGTGTTAGTGGACCAACGCGGGAAGGAGAATTGGTGGTAAAATGGTAAATATAGTAGTACAAACACTAAAAGCAATTCTTTCTTTTAGTATATATAGGAGCCTTAATCTCCTTGTTCATAACACTAAAAGCAATTCTTTCTTTTAGTATATATAGGAGCCTTAATCTCCCGCGTTGCTGTAAAGTATAATGCTATATTCATAAAAGATTTGCTATTATTACAAATATAGTTATAAATATTATCTATTATTATAAACATAGTTATAAATATATACACATACAATATGCTGTGAAAATAAAATATTTACTATTATTACAAACATAGTTCCAAATATACACACATACAATATTATAGGTCAAAATATATTTATACGTACATATAGACATATTATACATACTATACATACTACTAAAGAAGGCACTCGGGTTACTATTCTTAGAACAGTGTCCGGTCCTTCCTCTCCCTCTTCTTTGGAAAATTCCGGCTGTGTCTTAAATTTGTATTTTTACCATTTTATCCGTTGCTTATTTTTGTTTTGGTTTTTGTTTGAGTATTTTTGTCTTATCCTTCGGAATACAGCCTCACTAAAGCTGATTGTTTAGTTTGCCTTTCTTTTGTCACTGTGAAAGTTCTGGACTTCTTCATTTATGTCCATTTATTTTTTTCCTTTCTCTCTCGCTTTTCGTGAGGTTTCTGGGATTAATTTTTATTTGTTTGGTTTTCTCGCCGTTTCTTTCCGTCAAGCTTCTGAATTTGGTTATTTTTGTGCATTTTTCCCTTCTTTTTTTCCTCCTTTTCCTAAGGCTTCTGGGATTCATTTTTTATGCTTATTTTGTTTTTCGTTTTCCTTTCCTTAGATTTGGCTTCATTTTTTTCCCTGTTTTGTGCATTTTTTCCTTATTTATTTCTTTCTTTTCGTAAGGCTTCTGTGAATCATTTTTTATGTTTGTTTTGTTTTGTAGTTTTGTTTTTCGTTTCTCTCTCCTTAGA